ATTAATGGATTGATATATAGATAGAGCTAGTACATACAATGCCTAAAGCCACTATTACGCAATGCGTTTCGGGCAAGAAAAACATTAATATCTAGAACTTAATACTAATTGAGCATAAAGAATAAAAAGTGTTGAGAACAAATACAAATAAAGATAAAAAAGGGGGAACATGACTGAAAAGCAGCACAAATACAATAGTTGACAAACAGTGTTGATTAAAAAAAAAGAAAATAACAGACATGGGTTGACAATAGAGGAGTGAGGTAGATTACAGGGAATTTATTAGGTAGTGTTTAGTTTTTATCTTAAACTGGTTGAGAGAGGTACAGTCTTTAACATGGTTGGGAAGGTCATTCCACATTCTGGGCCCCTTGATCTGCAGAGCATTTCTAGTTTCGTCGACAATCAATGTCGACAAACAGCGCTCTTTAAAGAAAAAAACAGACATTGGTTGACAATAGAAGGGTAAGGTAGGTTACAGGGAATTTATTAGGTATAGCTTCGCTTTTAACTTAAACTGGTTGAGAGAGGTACAGTCTTTAACATGGTTGGGAAGGTCATTCCACATTCTGGGCCCCTTGATTTATAGAGCATTTCTAGTTTGATTAAGTCGTACTCTAGGAATATCAAAACTGTATTTATTTCTGGTGTGATGCTCATGGGTTCTGATACAACCTTCTATGAATCTTTTGAGATCAGGATTGGCATTATAGTTTAGCGTTTTATATCAGAGAAGAGAGAGCATTTCCACTCTCCTCCCTCAGTTCACTCGCTGCCAGCAGACTACTCAACTAATCGTACAGCATTCCTATCCCAAGTTTACTCAGGTTTACTTTACAAATGATTAGAAAGTATTAGTAAACATAGTTGGTGCCTATTTTATTATTTAATAATCAACCCCAAGCTCAGTCTTTAAATGCTCTCTGAGAAACAAGAATAGTCTTACATCTGGCAGGGAAGATACAAACAAATGCAGCTCGCGATGCGTCCAATACTATAAGGTAGTTTATTTAGCTCAATTTTGACCTCTGGTTTCCACTGAGGAACCAGGGTCGTAACAGTGGAAAGGGCTACAGAGGCACATAATGGGCTCAGGGACTGAACCCCACAATTCATTTAGCTAAGCAAGTTACAATCTTGATGAGCTAGTTACAAAATTCAGTATAAGTCGTCACATCAACAATGGGTTCGAGATCGACCTCAAGTACAGTTTCTAAATTAATTAAGCAACTGACATATGTGGAGAGCTAGTGTCACAATTTATATGTTTGTCCTACACACCGCCCCCCATCCAGTGGACAGCGGTGGATAGGTTACAATCACTTAGTTACTACTTACAGTTAGCAAACTGGGGATATTTGGCTAAAATTTATGGTAGCAGATCATTTTGAATGAAATATTGACACATCGCTGGACCATTGGTTATAGAATTGTCTCTAAATTCACGTATCTTTTCACCCTCCATCACATAGTGACGGAGGGTGTGCGAATAATTTTGTTGACACAGTTTACATTTCGTCAGGTCTACATCGGCAGATAATGAGAATTCCCAGAGATACTTGTAACCGAGTCTAAGCCGAGCAGTAGTAAAATCTAGAAGTCTACTGATTTTATTGGATGATCCATAGATGTGTGGCTCCTCTTGCATGATAGTATGATGATAGTATGATGACGGTATATCCCCATACAAGGATGGGGATATACCGTCAACTGATTTAGAAATGGCAAATGAATTTAATAGTTTCTTTTCATCGGTTGGTGCTAATCTTGCCAGTAAAATCCCACAGACTCAGACACATATTAACACATATCTCTCAGGCAGCTATCCAAACTCTCTTCTCCTTTCACCAATCAGCCCGGCAGATGTTGTGTCCATCATACATTCTCTAAAAACCAAGGCAGGGAACACCAGTGAAATTCCGTCCATTGTGTACAAGAGAGCCTCCCATGCCCTTGCCCCACCCATAGCACTACTGTTCAACAAATCTATAGAGTGTCACACCTTCCCTGATATCCTCAAAAAAGCAAGAGTAACGCCAGTCCATAAAGGAGGCAATCCGGCGGACATAAACAATTATAGACCAATATCAAATCTACCCATTCTATCAAAAATATTTGAAAAAATTATTTACAAACAGCTCTATTCCTACCTCGTAAAATTCGACATACTCAGCCCCTGCCAGTTTGGCTTCCGGTCCCAAAAGAGTACCAATGATGCAATCATTAGTCTCCTTGACATTATCTACTCAGCCCTTGACAAAATGAGTTTCCGATTGGACTCTTCATTGACCTAAGAAAAGCCTTTGATACTGTTAATCACAACTACCTCTTACTTAAACTCCAGCATTATGGAATCCGAGGCCTTGCCCTTGACTACATCCGATCCTATCTTAGTGACAGACACCAATATGTAACCATCAATGATACAACTTCTTCCACTCTACCAATTACCGTTGGAGTGCCACAGGGCAGCATCTTAGGACCTCTTCTATTTCTTATATATATAAACGATCTGCCTAATGTCTCTAATATTCTCAAACCTATATTGTTTGCTGACGATACTACCCTTATCTACTCAAACCTCAACCCACATACACTAAATAATGTTGTGAATAATGAATTAAAAAAAGTCCACTTATGGATGTCAACGAACAAACTAACATTAAACATCGAAAAGACTTACTACATCTTATTTGGAAGCAAATCATCAAATGCAATTCAGCTACAGATAGACAACATTAACATCAGTAATAAAAATGATGGCAAGTTTCTTGGCCTATTCCTAGACAAGAGACTCAACTTCAGCACCCACATTCAACACATAACTAAGAAAGTCTCTAAAACAGTTGGTATACTCTCCAAAATCAGATATTATGTTCCTAACTCTGCTCTCCTCTCACTATATTATGCACTAATCTACCCCTATCTTAATTATGGTATCTGTGCATGGGGGTCTACCACTGCAAACCACCTTAAGCCCATCATCACACAGCAAAAATCTGCTATCAGAATAATAACTAACTCTGCTTTCAGACAACACTCAGCTCCCTTGTTTAAATCTCTAAACTTGGTAAATATTAACTCCCTCCACACATTCTCTTGTGTCAACTACATTTACAAAACCCTGTTCTTAAATGCAAACCATGCTCTGAAACTCTCCCTGGACAGATGTAATAGGACCCATTATCACCACACCAGAAATAAATATCTCTTTGCTATCCCCAGGGTCAAACTTAATCTGTGTAAACACTCTATGCAAATTAAGGGACCTAGTCTATGGAACTCACTCCCTAGTGAATTGAAAAACTGTAAAACTTTTGCCTTATTTAAAAGCAAAACCAAAAAGTACCTAACTTCATCTATTTAGTTTCCTACACTGAGCTTTAAATTTGCTCTGTACCTAGTGTTACCCAATCTCCTAATTTTTATGTAATATCAAACAACCTTATCATTGTGTTCATTGCTGTCTTCTTTTATGTGCTAGCCATATGCTGTATTGTGACTACCAATTTTTGTCAACTACCATCCAAGCTGTCATTGCAATCAATCTTATATTGTTTCTGCTGTATTGTGCCTACCAATTTGTTGTCAACTACCATTTTAAGCTGTCATTGCAATCAATCATAGCTACCTATGTGCTTTAATATACTGTACCTATAATTTTCTCTCATCTTTTTTTTTTCATTCCATGTAATCTGTTATCATTTTTTTGTCTATAAATTTGCAAGTATTTACCTCCTTAAAATTTTCTTAGATTAAGGACCTGTCCGAAACGCTGCGCGTGCTAGTGGCTTTACAAGACTGTAATTACCGTAATTGTATCCTCACATTCCTTATGTACATTCTTGTATATGCATAAATAAATAAATAATAAATAAATAAATAAATAGATGGAATTTCTGATCGGGGAGAAAAACACAAGCCAATATGGGGGGACTTATTTATTAATTATTGTATAGAGATCATCTGCTGTACCACAATATAATTGATGTCGTATAACATAACTGAGTAGTAAGCCAGTACTGCAAAGATGCAACTAAGGAAATAAGTCGTAGCACATTATTAACAGAGCCTAGTGCCAGTTAGCCAAAGCAATGTTGCAGTACACACAATCAGCTTAATGCTATAATTAAAGTACAACACCAGAGTTATAATTTGAGTGGCACAGCCAGTACAGTATGTATATAAAATATATTCTGTATACACAGATGCCAAAGAAAAGATAGATAAGAATTTCCAGGGGTAATGATATGCTAGTGCCTAGGTTACATGTAAAGTCTGCAACCCCCAACTTGCACTACAAGTGTGCTCTTGACATATGGTAAGTAGCTGCGGGCAGCCCTAGACTTGAGGATCCGGCGCAGCACCCCCCGAATTTGTGCATAGTAGAAATGTGTGCATAAAAGAAAGCGTGTGGAGCTCTACTGGGCATAGTTGTCCTGCAGGCAAGGAAGGAAGGCGGGTGATTCGAAGCGATGCGGGCCGGAGCTGGAACGTAAATGAGGGAGAGACTCGAATTCGAATTCGAATGATACAGGAGAAGATGCCCGTTGGGGCGAGCCTTGAAGTGGGGACAGCTGAAGAGAAGTCGGTGAGAGGAGATGCTGAAGTTGAAGAGAAAGTGCCAGGGCTTGACCCAGCTGCGTGTCAAAAAGTCGATGCTGTAGCAACCCCACATCTGGCTAGGCTGGGAGACGGGTCTGGAAGGCGGCAGTTGCAGGTTTTCTTTCCTCTTGGTGTGTGGAGTCTGTCTTCGACGTCGGGTACCACCATCTCAAAACGAGCAAAATTAGGTCCCCATCCCCCTAAAAAGGGGGAGGAGGGCAGCTGCCCTCAGTAGGTTTCTTTCTTCTTCTATTTTTTCTTGCTTCTAGTAGTCATTTGATGATTTTCTTTGTACTGGGCGTAGTCTGGTAGGAAAAGATCCTTTGCCAATGTGGCTTCGTCGCATTCGAATATGATTACGTCGTTCTTTAGAACGAACTTTTGGCCTGGATTGTTCAGCAAGCATTCTGCATACCTAGTGTTGAGTATCTTGCTGGTGACGCGCCTGTATGCGGAGATGCAGGTGTCAGGTGCTTGTCGCGTTCATCATAGAGTGCAGAGACTCGTGGAGACTCCGCTGGTATTTGGAGTGGTGAATGTGCTTCAATGTCCTCTGGTGCTGGGGGTGGTGATAGTGCTACAATTTCAACGTAGGCATTCGATTCGTCATCAGAAGACGCGGTGAAGCTCGCAGGAGAAGTTGGTGGCAGTATCGTTGCACACGACTTAGGCGCTGGTGTAACTGGAGCAATAGGGTCTGGGTTTACAGGGATCTCTGGCGTGGGGTCGGACTCTGGTGGAGAGGAGCCATCGATAAACATGGCCTCTGGGATCACGAACGTTGGAAGGTTGTTCACCTTGTACAGTTCATTAAGAATTCTGTACCGTTGTCTGAGATCTCCACCTGAGAGCTCCGTTGCGAAGTGCATCAGAGCTGCAACAGTGCTATCAGGGGTGGCTGGAGACGGCGTGAGTGAGGACGGCTGGCTGGCTTAGTGCAGAGGTGTCGTCTGAGGCTGTGAGTGGCTGGCGCGGGAGTTGGGTTGCGCGCCGCTCGCAGCGCCACTTGTCGGGAGTGCTGGGAAGGCTTCTTCTTAAATGTTGAAAGCCTTCGCTCTTGGAGTAGAGTTTCTTGGTCTGGCGTCCATCATTTTCGTGATTTCCGCCTGTCTGTTGGGGCAGTCTTGAGAAACGGCTGTACGTGTGTTCACTGTTGCAGAGTAGACAACGCTTGGTGGCAGCTGTGCAGGTCCTGTGATGGTGTTCCCCAGCACAAATGCTGCATTTCTGCAGCGGATTTGGGCACTTCTGTGAGTAGTGGGTGTATTGATAACACCTAAAGCACTGACGCAGGCGAAAATAACGCTGCCTAGTGATCTGATGGGGTGTGCAGGCCACTCCACAGCATCTGAGGCCGTTGTCGGCCGCGAGAATAGCTTCTGCCGGAGTCTTGAGGGTGACCTTGAGGGTGGTCTTCCCGTTCTCGCCTTGCTGGATGAAGTGGGCCGAGATGGCCGTGAGGGATCGATTTAGAGCGTTTATGCTCTTCACGATCTCAGTAGCTGGTCGTTCCGCGATGATGTCACTAACTCAGTGGATAAATATAGTCCTTACCGCCTGGAACTGGTGGGGAGGCAGGAGGGTCAGACCCTTTGCCTCAAGAGCCGTGGTCGTTGCTGCGGTGAATAGAGCTTCAAGTGCTACTGCACTGCTGAAAAGAATTTGGGGGTCCATTTCCGTCCATAACGACGTCGATGGGTGCTACCCCTGAGTTCGATGCCAGTAGATCCATGATCTCGGCCTTGTTAAATGTGGTGTCGGTTCCTCGGAACCGCACCTTCACTTTGAAAAGCATGATGCCTATGCAGACACCACTCTAAGGCTAAGGAGGGAAGCGCTCACGTTGCTGCTGAATATTTATCCACCCGGCAGTGCGAGGTGCAAGCTTCCTCTCCGCTGGTCTGTGAAAGGAGGGAGAGACTCGATTGATTGATGATTGATAAAGATTAAGCCACCAAAGAGGTGGCACGGGCATGAATAGCCCGTAAGTGGTGGCCCTTTTGAGCCATTACCAGTATCAATAGATGATACTGGAGATCTGTGGAGAGGCAAATGCACCATGCGTGACGGGAGATGTCTCCCTTGTGAATGTGTTAAGATGAAGATGAAGCCACCCAAAAGGTGGCACGGGCATGAATAGCTCGTAAGTGGTGGCCCTTTTTGAGCCATCACCAGTATCAATAGATGATACTGGAGATCTGTGGAGGTGCAACTGCACCTTGCGTGACGGGAGATGTCTCCCATGAATGTGTTCAAGATGAAGATTAAGCCATCCAAAAGGTGGCACGGGCATGAATAGCCCATAAGTGGTGGCCCTTTTGAGCCATTACCAGTATCAAGAGCTGATACTGGAGATCTGTGGAGGTGCAACTGCACCCTGCGTGACGGGAGATGTCTCCCGTGGAGAGACTCAGAATCAGAATAATACAGGAGAAGAAGCCCATTGGGGCGAGCTTGGAAGTGGGGACAGAAGAAGATAAGGGGGGGGGGTGAGAGGAAGAAGATTTGTAGGAGAAAAAGTGCCAGGGCTAAACCCAGCTGCGTGTCGTTTGGTTGCGGTATTCGAGGCAGGGACTCAGTCGGGTGTTTTCAGTGACAACATCGGGACATCACAAACTCACAACATCACATGCAGTGTTTGGTTCAAGAGCGTCAGGGCTGAACTCTTTACGGATAGTTTGTGCTGGTTGTTGAGAGCTGAATATGTAATGATAGTGGATGCTGGGTGTTGTGAGCTAAAGTTTAACGATATACAGAGTTAGGAGGAGGATCATGGATGGTAGAGAAGAGGTCATGATTGTTTTGTGGTAGTCTGAGAGTGTGTAGGAGAAAATCAATGTGTTGTTCATGATAAGTGAGTAGTCTATCAATTTGTTTGTCTGATAAAGTTTTCCAGTAGGTATTTAGGGCAGGAATGTTCGTACTTTCATGGAGACTTTGACTGGTATTTAACTCTTGCCATCGGGTGTTGAGTACCCATCTTAGTGCTCTATTCTGTATTCTTTGAAGCTTTATTTTGTTAGTAGGTGCAGATAGAGAAAGAGCTAGTGGAGCATATGTTAGGAGAGGTCTAATAAGTGCTTTGTAAAGGTGCATTTTTGTGTCAGGTTTTGCAAACCTAAGTCTGTACAGTTTCTTCATGGCTTGAAGAGCTATTGCATGTTTCTGTGTAATGTGTGTGTGAAAGAGTAGTTGTCGATCAAATGAGAGTCCAAGGACTGTGGAGGAGGAGATACAGAGATATAAGTAGGATTTTGAGTGTATGAATAGTGTTTGAGAGGAATTGGGCGAATAGTTCTTTTACAGAAAAAGTAGGTGATTTTAGATTTGCTGGAGTTGGTTTTTATACGCCATTTGTACTCCCATTCAATGTCAACATCAAGTTCTGTTTGTGCTCTGTTTGTTAGTGTATCAATGGTGTTGCTGGTGACAAGGTGAGAGACATCATCGGCATAACATATGGTTAATGCAGTGTGATGAACAGGGTCAGGAATGTCGTTTATGTATAGGATGTAGAGTGTTGGGGCAAGAACAGAGCCTTGGGGAACACCGGCATGTAAGTTGCAGTAGTCAGAGTGTTGTCGGAGGAACTTAATTCTCATTGTCCTATTGTCTAAGTAGTTAGAAAGAAGTTTGGTGGTGATAAGAGGAAGATTGAAGTTGTTGCATAGTTTGAATTTTAGGCCGTCGAGTGTCTTACCACTACACCACGGCAGTCCCCGTGGTGTAGTGGTAAGACACTCGCCTGGCGTTCCGCGAGCGCTATGTCATGGGTTCGTATCCTGGCCGGGGAGGATTTACTGGGCGCAATTCCTTAACTGTAGTCTCTGTTTAACGCAACAGTAAAATGTGTACTTGGATGAAAAAACGATTCTTCGCGGCAGGGGATCGTATTCCAGGGACCATAGGATTAAGGACTTGCCCGAAACGCTACGCGTACTAGTGGCTGTACAAGAATGTAACAACTCTTATATATATCTCAAAAAAAAAAAAAAAAAAAAAAAAAAAAAACAGTGTCAAAGGCCTTCTCAACTTCTTAGTGATGAGTGCAGTCTTAAGTGTTTGGTGCTGATTGATACTGAGGTAGTTAGTCATGATGTTTGAGGCGTCGTGAGTGGACCGGTGAGGCCGAAATCCAAACTGTTTGTTAGTGAGTAAGTCATTGTTTTCTAGGTGGGTTCTAAGTCTCTGGTTGATCAGCCTTTCAAAGACTTTGCCAAGTGTCTCTAGAAGGCTGATGGGTCTATAGTTCTTTGGGTCAGTGTGGGGTTTCCCAGGTTTGGAATAAGAACGGCTGTGGCAGACTTAAAGTTGAGTGGAAAGTATCCAGAGGCAAGGGAGGCGTTGAATAGGTTAGTGATAGCAGTAATGATAGAAGCAGGGAGTTGTCTAAGAAGGATATGTCCAATGCCAGACGCACCAGGGGCTCTACGACGAGTGCCCATGAGAGCTGTCTTGACATCAGCTAGAGTCAGGGGAGTCTGTAGTTCAGTGTTTGAATTGAGATTGTCAAGGTGGATGAGGTCGTCTGGTGTAGTTGCTTGTCTATTTTAGTGTATCCAGTCTTCGACTATTTCAATGTTGGGGCGTGCAAATGGTTCAGGAGGATGTGGGTGAAAGATTTGTTCCCAGTGGTGTTTAAAAATGTTGAGTACTGCTTCAAGATCAGTGATTTTGTTGTTATTATGTAGAAGGTATTTAAACGGTGTGTGAGTTGATCCTTGTAATCGTTTGATTTGTTTCCAGAATTCTTGAGGTGTCAGTTTTCTGTATTGTTCTGCTTGTTCTATGAGGTGTTTTCCATTGTTTTGTGTGATCTTCATCTAGGCTGTTTAAGGATGTGGTTTTTTAATGCTGTTAGGTCCCATAGTATTTGTCCATGACGATGTATGTTTTGTAAGAATCTAGTGTAATAGCAAGCTAAGAGGCGTTTTGAGCGAATGGAGGGGGTGAAAGTGAAATGTGGTTTGTGTGTTGTTTTAGGAATGGAGATGTTTGCTGCATGAATGATGGTGTCTTGTATGTTGCGTGCTTGTGTGTCGATGTCAGTGTGATGTTTGTCATTGTATTCATAAGTGAGATCAGTGTCATCAATGTGTTGTTTGAACATGTCCCAGTTTGCCCTAAGGTATGAGAATTGAGGAGTGCTGGGGATGAGAATAGGATTTGTGGAGACTGTGAGAATTAAGGGAATATGATCAGAGCCGTAATGGGCCCTGGTGAAATGAAGTGTTGCAAGTTGCTGCCATGTCTGTTGGTGAATATGAGATCAGGTCTGCCTGAACCTGTATGTGTGAAACAAGTGGGAAGTCAGGACCAAGAAAGAATAGATGTTTTTGGGTGTATATTTGGTGAAGCTGTCTGCCATGCTGATTTGTGGTATTGTGGTGGAATGTAGGATGTTGTGCATTGAGGTCTGCAAGCAGAAAAACAGGCAAGTGAGTGTGGCTGAAGAGAGTTATGAAATCTTCCATGGGAATGTCGGTGTTAGGACGGGTGTAGGTTGTGCAGATGGTGAGAGACCCCATTTGTGTGTGAACTTTAATGGCAAGGAAATGTTTGTGAAGCCAATGAGTGTGTAAGAGTTTGTGTTTGTATGAAGAACGGATGAGTATTGCAACTCCTTCATGTGCGTCATCTGGTGACTGGTAAGAGGTTTAGTTAGTTTAGTTCATTTATTATGCACCCCATACCCATCTTGTGGGCGGTAGTGGAAATGGTTACAGAGGCACATAATGGGCTCAGGGACTGAACCCCACAATTCATTTAGCTAAGCAAGTTACAATCTTGATGAGCTAGTTACAAAATTCAATATAAGTCATCACATCAACAATGGGTTCGAGATCGACCTCAAGTACAGGTTCTAAAT